GAAACAATCTTGTAATTCAAAATTCTAGTGTTCTTATTTGTTTATAAAGAACACATTACAGGTCTGACATGGCTGGTAGTTAGGGCGCTTGACTTGCAATCTGCGTGTCGCGGGATCGAAACCCGTAGCCGAACATGATCATCCTTTCTGTCGTAGGGATGTTATAATGTGACAGTCAATCAAACTATTCATTGGTAAAAGAGTAGCTCAAAAACTGGCGGTGGATGGTGTTAGCTAGCTGCTTTCCGTCTATTCTGTTAGTTCATAATTAGGGACAGCTAGCACAGATAATCCTCGAGTAGCTTTGCGTTAAATTATACAAACAAATAGATATTTCTCGGCGCCAAGCAGGTGATCCAACATTCTAGTCTGTGGGGAAAAAAAGAACGCACTATACACATAGGCCTCTAATCAAAAAAGCATCTTGTGAAACTATGCATACGGAATCAAACTTCTTTATAGAGAGCATCAGATATACTATTTTTTTTAATGTACATGGATAATCGTATAGATACTCAGGAATGTAGGGTTTCTACTCTTGACATTCAAAAAAAATGTGACGTCAGTCTTTATAAAAAAAAAAAAACAACCCATAACCTTCAAGTATTTTATGCATACTTTTTTTTTCCTGGAATACAAGTGTCAGTGTAAAATTTATAGTTCCCTTTGTTCGAAAACTGAACATCCAGATAAATCCCACAGAATAACCGAAAGATGAAAACGAATGTAGAGTGGACTTGATTACTAGAAATAAAAATGTATGAGTGATACACTATAAAAATGATAACATTTATGACTGCTACGTTTTTGCTTATTTGCCTGGTCTTCTATCATGGTTGGTAAGGAATATCTCAAAATACATTAAATACCGTCAAATCCCAGTATTGGGGTAGATAAGATTAGCCCCAGAGTTGTCTGTGCTTGATGTTCACTAGTCTTCTTTCTAGTTTATCAGTTGAATATTAGGGACGGCTATACAAACGCAAGTAGCTTTGGTGGAGTTTTGCGCGAAAATTTTAAGAATCACAAAAGACAACAACATTTAGTTACGTTACGTAGCGCATTCATATATTTACCTCTGTAAACTTCAACCTCGTATCGAATGAACTATTTATTATTTTTACGACCGAAAGATGAATTTTGTTTTTTAAGCACCATATACATTTTTCTACAGATACATGATTGATCGGATGAACTTCCCTCCACGCGAAGCTATTCAAGGTAGGTTTGTCTTCACAATATTCTAAGAAATATCATTACAATTGTAAAATGTTCTTGTAACCGTATTTATTTTGATCATATTACTTGCTGTGAGAATAAAGTATAACTGTTAGTTTTTCCCCAGTTTCTACTGAAATGTTCATAGTAACACAAATAATGAGTTATTTTAGTCTAGTTTTTGGTAAATCTGTCTTCAAGTTATAATACTCATGATGTTAGAAAAACACGTAGGTTCAAGAAGTCTTGATACAAATGAATAAAACCCTATAACCCGAGCGCTTTCGAAAGGTGGACCTATCTTCTTCAGGGGCAAACTGAGAATCATTCAAGTTATAATATTCACCACTTTATTTTTGTCTGTTCATCAAAAGAGTGTCATTAAGTTGACTTAAACTGACTAGTTATTTTATTAGGACCCAATTTCACTGAATATTTATTTTGATTATTATTCATCTCATTAAATAGCCATGACTCTTGCGATATAGACTGCATATGATGTCAATATCTCACTCATCGAGAAGTATAGTCTCCATTGGTTTCACATTTGTTTATCCTGTAGATACCCGATGAGATAAATTAAATCATTACCATGTTCTACAAACCAATTACAGATAATATGAATGTATTGTTTCATTATTGTTTTGGACGTGAACAGTAATAGCACTCAGCTTGTTACTTGCCCTCTTCTAAATGAATCATACAACTGAACTTCTATCATGAGATCCTTCCCACACCATTATACCACCTCCAAACACAGTGTCAGAACAGCATAAACAGAGTGAAGTGCTTTGTGTATTTTTTACTTTATATTTTTACTTAAGAGTGAATACGATGTATTAGACCACATCATACACTTTCAGTAATTCACGGTCTATACTTTGCATTATAAGCACAACAAAAGCCGTTCCCTTCCTGATTTTATGTGAGATAAACGGTTTTTGTATTACTTTGTGTCTGTCATATTACATGTGGCACTTCTATAGGTAATGAAACGTTGACCGTTGTTAAAGGAACTGGTTAGTTTAGATACACTCTGACATCTGTTAACAGTATCGTTAATTTCCTGAAGAACCATCTTCGTTTACTGTTTTCTATTAAAACGTTGTCAGTAAACATCCCAACTGGACCGACTCCAATTAATGCAATACAACAGTGGTTCTCAACGTTTTTTATTGGCGCAAGATCTATTTGTAAAAATTAATTGCTATTCGCGACCTAGTAAATAGCTTTAGTACCAAAAATACCTAGTTTCCTAAATACTTACTAAATGAATATGTTTCCAGAGTCTATTTGTAACCCTTTCACACATTCTAATGACCCAGTCATATCCAGTAATATCTAGTAGAGAATAAAATTATATCTGTGCTTCTTCCTCGATGGGTCAGCGTTAAGTTTGAGGGTTTATAACACCAAATATCAAGTTTAGATACCCGCGGTGGGCACTGACAGATAGCTCATTATATAGCTTTGTGTTTAGTAACCAAATCGCTGTATTCTTTTATTTATATTATGCACTGAAAATTTGTATGATGTTGTCATTCACGTTACTTGTGGAAAGAAAAGCTTCTCACAACTGAAACTAATGTAAAATTAACTTAGATCCAAGATGATGTAGGAGCGTTTGATCGGTCTTATCATTATACCGATTGCTTTAAGTGACAGTTTGTTTCTTGTGTAAATGTTGCCTCACCATACTGCATGTTTAATTTGTAAGCAAAAATTGCAATGTTAAAAGCTCAAATAACTCATGTTGTTTTGTACGTGGTAAATTCACTCATTTTACCATATGAAATATTGCATCTTATTTTTGCGCCTTAGTTAGCTTTAGCCCACACATACCCAAAAGCATATTTTACGAAGCGTGGCACAAACCTTAAGGCCGGTGCTGTTAAAAATATCAACATTATAAGAAAATAGATAAGCCTAACTAGCGCAATGATTCATCGTCAAACATTGTAAGAAAACATTGCAAATAACGAATATAAATATTAATTTCATTTATAATTGTCAAGTCTCAAGATAATCATAAGGAAAGCTAGCAAAGGATTTTGAACTCCATAATGAAATCCAGCGCACTTGCGCTTGAATCCTCAATTAGCAGAATGGAACATTCTCTATTTTATAATATTTTTAGGTATTCAGAATTTCCGTTTGTAGATTAATAGATAGATAATTCGCTGAAGGTTAGTCTATCTTGCGATATCGTAGAATTTATTGAACATGTAAATTATCGTAACTTCAGCTTAGAGTATTAAACTCACTTTACACTGATAACTAGTAAACTGGCCGCCAGTACATACTCAAGACACAGAGAGACTCTTCTTTTGACCCTCTAATTGTTGTTTTGGTTTGGATTTAATCTTCTTTTTACTGGTTCATTTCTTATAGGCCTGGCATGGCCTAGTGATTAGTACGGTCGACTCAGCCGTGAGGGCTTTATAATGTGACGGTCAATTCGAGTTCGTTGGTAAAGGAGTAACCTAAGAGTTGGCGGAGGGTGTTGTTGACTAGCTCCTTTTCCTCTAGTCTATCACTGATACATTAAGGACGGCTAGCGCAGGTAGCCCTCGTGTAACTTTTCGCAAAATTCAAATCAAACCATTTCTCATATTCATTTCTTTTGAATTTGTATTTTTCATAAAATCAATGATTCGGGTTGTTTCATTTCAAATCGTACTCTCGCTGAATACTACTACTACTTTTATCCTTTTAATGTAAACACAATTTCATGTTTGATATTCGAGATAATTATGTAAACATGAAGAAAAAAAAGATACTTCAGTATATAATATTATGCATTTTCGTGAGTTAAAGGCATTTTTCTCACTTCTGTTTATCTATTATTAAGAGTATTGTTATTTTACAGGATTTAGTTGGGGGCTAACGAAACGTTAAGTACAATCAGAACTATACATGTCCAGACATGATTCTTACATGTTACCACACAGCGGAACATATAAAGTTGTACTGAGTGAAGTTGTTTATCATAGCCTCTTTAACAGGTCAATTAAATCGAGGGTTTATGACGCACCAGCTGTGTGGATGAAGAAGCCAATAATAATAAATATGTTTCTGTATAATGCTCACGCGCTATTCCACCAGTTTACACTCTTGGCTATCATAAATACTTTAAACGGTAACTATCCTATTAACCCAATTATTTTTTCACCAAAACTGATTTATTGGTTTAAATAAGACGTTAGTCAGCCTGTCCTACTTTTCTTTATTTTAAATATTAGCGTTACTCATGCTAATCTTTATACCTACGTTTAATACTGTTAAAAAGAAAATTAAGGTACTGTAGTTATGTCCAAGTTGTTTCCAGGAGGACAACGTTGGGCAAAAACTTTGATATGTATGAGCTAAGTTATTTGTGTAATAGTAGGCAGAAATATGTAATAAATTACATTTTGTGGCAGAGAAAAATATTATGATGGGAGATAGTATTCAGATTGAGAATAGTTTTATGTAAATTAAAGTACTAAATCTAAAATAACGATATTTATCCTATAAATACTTATTATTTTATTTCGCCTTTATTGGATGCACCGGTATGTTGAAAAATAGATGAATAGAAGTATAACGAGTTGCTGAAATAAGTAGAGATATATAAAAGAAGTTAGAAATTGAATGCGTTAATTCTAAGGGTATAGTCCACAGAGTGAATGCAGTAGCAGTTCTAAAGTTAGAATGAGCTACATTGCATTAATTCTAAGAGTATAGTCCACAGAGTGAATGCAGTAACAGTTCTAAAGTTAGAATGAGATACATTGCGTTAATTCTAAGAGTATAGTCAACACTAAAGTTAGAATGAGATACATTGCATTGATTCTAAGAGTATAGTCCACAGAGTGAATGCAGTAACATTTCTAAAGTTAGAATGAGATACAATGCGTTAATTCTAAGAGTCTAGTCAACAGAGTGAATGCAGTAACAGTTCTAAAGTTAGAATGAGATACACTGCGTTAATTCTACGAGTATAGTCCACAGAGTTGGAATGAGATATTCTATGCTTTATAAGGTGTTTGATGTAACATCTGTTTAAAATATTGGATTAGAATAGTTTATGTGGGGTTTGGGGATATGAAACAAAAAAAAAGAAAATTTTTTATCAGGTAAAACAAATTCCGAAGCTCACTTCATCCTTCACACCAAACCTTGCTGTATATAAGTAGAATGACATTGTTTTTATTATTGTTAATTATACATTATACTTTTTGAAGGTTTTGATTTCGTTTGACCTCTGTTTATAGCCTTTCAAGTAGCCAGAGGTTATCCAATTGAAAGAAAAGAGTACGTGAACAACTTGCTTGGAGACAGTTTGTAAGTTAACCACCACAGATAACTTTGTTCGTTTTATTTTGTAGTAATGTGGATATCTTGTGTTCACAATTCTTTCACACAGGTCTTCGGTTTGTTTCTAAATATGGCGTTTAAGGACATAAATATTTAATACAAATTTTAGATTAAGAATTCATAGGTTGTTGTAATTATTGTTCTTTCCTGAAAAAATGGTCAGTTTAGTAAAATTTTTAAATGTGTATTATAACTAATAAATCACTAATATTTTAAAAAAGTGTATGAAAATGTAATACACTCGATGTAAAACGAAGAAAGCTTGATTCTTAGCGTGACCGGTATTATCTTACAATTGTATATTTTTAGTTCTGATGACCGAAAGATAAATCCAAATACCAAAAAAGACAAATACTTAGAACTCCCATCTGTACAATTTCAAATTCGCTACTCAAAACCTAAGCAATCAGAGTGGCCAATTGAAAAAAAGCAAAAATGTTTTGGAATTCGAGACTGGATACAAAACTCTTCTCACCGACAATTTAGTAGACCACGTGAGAAAACATATGGAATGCAGGAGTCCTTATCTGGGCAACCAGCTGAATCAGGTATGCAACACCACATAACACAAAACTCCTTACTCCAACAACCTAGTGGATCATCTAAGATGACTTATGGAATGCAGGAGTCGTTACCTCGCCACCCCGTTAGGTCAGATAGGCAACACTATATAACACAAAACTCCTTACTCCAACAACCTAGTGGATCATCTAAGATGACTTATGGAATGCAGGAGTCGTTACCTCGCCACCTCGTTAGGTCAGATAGGCAACACCACATAACACAAAACTCCTTACTCCAACAACCTAGTGGCTCATCTAAGATGACTTATGGAATGCAGGAGTCGTTACCTCGTTACCCCGTTAGGTCAGATAGGCAACACTATATAACACAAAACTCCTTACTCCAACAACCTAGTGGATCATCTAAGATAACTTATGGAATGCAGGAGTCATTACCTAGCCATCCCGTTAGGCCAGATATGCAACACTATATAACACAAAACTCCTTATTACAACGACCTAGTGGATCATCTGAGTTAACCTACGGAAGTACAGGAGTTGTTAGGTCACGTAAGCAGAAGAATCAAACACAAAACTTTTTATGCCAACAGCCTCGTACCTCACGTAAAGTAACATACAAAATGCAGGAATCGTTACCACGGCAACCCTACAGATATCGTGAAAAGTATTACACCATACAGAATTTTTTACATCAACGACCTAGTGGATCACGCGAGGCAATCAACGAAACGTTTATGTCTAGAAGATCAAACGAAAATTTTTGACAAATGGATAAACCATTCCTGCCAAATCTTGACGGTTCGTGTAAAGATACTTACAAACTGGAGAATTCATTCGACCCGACGAAGAGCGGAACACACAGAAGATCTTACAAAACTGTCTCCGAAGGGTCACTTAAATATCTGTTAAGGTGTAAGCCGTAGTAACAGCAGTGAATCATATTACACGAAAAGTTTAAAACAACAGCAAATCGATCTAAACAATCCTTTGAATATCGTGAAAATAATTGAAGTGGTCACCAGAAATGTCTGTGAAACTTATCCAGAAATAACTGTTCAGGTTTAATAGATATTTTTGTTGTAAAATACTTAGCACGAATTTATGAGAACGAAAAGAAAAACAAATGACCGGTTTCATTTAATGACACATGTATGGAGGACAGAATTTGCAGGAATGGGGAATAAATTGAAAAATATTACCTTTGACATATTTTATTAAGCTGACAAGCTACTGAAGGTAATAGGTGAGAAAAGATTTCAAAATGTTTTATCATATAGCTTTCCTTTAATAATAGAGTAACTGCAGTAGTTTTGTGCTTTTATATTTTTATCTTTTTGTTATAAGAAAAAATTGTGATAACATTCGAAACCCACATTGAAATTGAAATTATGGAAAATATTTTATCAATGTCAGTGACTTGGGATAAAAGTGGTGTTAACTTGCGATGTCCTGTGTATGTATACTATGAAAAATAAAGACTTAACTGAATGAAATATTTTTTCTAGTTTTTTTGTGTGTGTGTGTGTTGTTGTTGTTTTTTTTTATTTGGAGCGTCTCTGTAAAACTTATTTATCTATAGCATGAACAGTGAAATAGCTACACTTTTGGAAAAGAAAGAAATAAGATGACCGTGACAAACTGTAAAACAAAATTAATGGTAATTAAAACAAAAAATGATGAATAATAGTTGGTTGTATACATAACAGAAGGTAACAAAATACAGTATGAATGTTGAATACAGTCGGAAGGTTAATAAATATTTCTATTATTACACTACTTTTACAATAAAATTGTAAACCAAGTATTGGGTGAATGTTAACATTGATTAATATTAACTTCCGATCAGAGCAAGTTATGTACTTAGAGTGAAACTAAAAATCCAAAACATTAAACATACTGGATATAAACGATAAAAAAACAACAACTAGGTAATCAGAAAGTTAGACCTTCCCTTCCCCTTTCAGTCACGTCTAGCCTTATTGCGCACACACTATGAAATAGCGAAGCCAGCCAGGTTAAAAGTTTGGTTGAAATTACTCTTGTGACCTGGATAGAAACCTTGGAAACATCGTAATTTAACTGTGTTGCAAATTCTCAGTTTCTCACGATGTAGCGTGACTTGGTATGATAAACATGTTAATATGGGTGAGGATTAAAAATAAGAATATAGAATTCAAATTGTTAGCAATGTCAGCTGCCGTGCCAATTCCGTTTATAACGAAAATAAAAATACAGGAAATTTGCAAATAAATATGAGTTATAAAAGAATTTGATAAACTACGCAATATGGACTATTTTTCAAAGACATTTACGCCTGAGAATTTTTCGTTTTACGTCCTTAATGCTTAGCGCTTAACATGCAAAAATTGCATCAGATAGCTGTTGTATGGAGGAAGGTTTTATCTTTAATCGAAAATAGGTTAAGTCATATTGTATATTTATTATTGTATTTCTATAATTTCTTACTTTGGGTTGTTCAGATGTGGAATAAGGTTGTGAGTTTTTTAAGTTTAACACTTTTTTTGTTGCTTTGTTTTTGTACTGTCTGGCACAGGACATGGGTTGGCTGTGTGGCAGAATTCCGAAGTTCTGAACTGGTGACCCGCATTCGAAGCCGTGAGATAAAAATATTTCTCGCATTTTAAACAATGGGAGCCTTATAAGATAAAGAAAGTCAATTCCTTAGTATAGATGGTGACTGGTTGCCTTCCTTATGGTTAGTACCTGAAAATTAGTGACAGTGGCAGATAGCTTTAGTACAATGTAGTGCTTTTACTGGACATATCACGGTAATATACGGTAGTTGGGATCCCAACAATTTACCACAAGGTTCACGGTAACTTACTGGCATACTGACTGATAGTAAGTTACCATGAAAAATAAATCTTGTTAAACTACTGTTTTATTGGTTATCAGTAAATTACCGTTTTTTTTTTGTAAATTACTGTGAACTCGACAGTAGCCACTGATTTTACCGTTTTTATCTGTAATACTTTACTGTACATTATATGGCAACTTGCTCCATCATTTCACAGTACTTAAATTTATTACCGTAAATTCTGTACTATTTTTATTTCAACATGCTGCAAAATAGGCAGAAACACGTACAATAAAGTGATTCGTGGTGGTAGTTATTAGTTTGCCTAAATTGCAGTGAACTATTAAATGCAATAGACAATACACTGACTTCAGTCCATCTGATCCCAATTAAGATTTTATCCACACGAATAGTCTTTATTCGTATAAGAATAAAATTACGTATTATAAACACGACTTATTATACAAGAAATAGACTAGCAGTTTAAAGCATCAGAACACAATATTATTACGATATAGATTAACAGTTTACACTTACTTTCAATGAAATATAATAACATTAAAACTGTAACAAACTTAATGTTCTTGAAATGCCTTTAAACAATATACAGTTTCATCTTTTTTCGTCTTACAAAATGAACACCAAAGAGAGTGAATCTAAAGCCACAATTTCTCATGCCTAACTCAAAGTAATACACACTCATATATATTAAAAGTTATAAAAATAAATATTTAGAAAGGGACCTGTTTTGGGCTTATAGTTCTTTGAGTTCAGTTTGTTCACTCAAAATCAGCCAACTTGTTCAAGAATCAATTTTCACCTGCACCAGTTTACGCTTGTTTCTTTTACCACATTACCTTTTGGTTCTCCTCTCAGATCTGATAATAAAGATATATCAGGCAGATGATAGTACTGCCTATGTAGAGATGGCTCGGATTGCTCATCGAAATGGTATTTTAAAAATCTCCTCAATAGGTTATCAGAACCTTACAATACTATACAGTGTTTCCTTTTATTACAATATCTATGTAATGACTGAGTCTCAAGTTCTGAGAATTTCTGTAAATATCATAGCAAAAAAGTTGGATTTCTTTCTTCTGCTTCTTTTTTATTACATGATAACACAAAAATCAAACTAATGGTGTCAAACAAGTTCATTGAGGTGACATAGTTTCAAACGGAGTATCCGCTTTTATAAGTATTACTAACTAGTAATTTTAAAAAAATCGTAATTCTAGTACAAACGATGTTATCATTACCCCTTGAAGTTAGTTTTCTTACAGACATTTATTGTTCCTTTTAAAAAGTTTAAGTACAGAGTGAAACAGGAATTACCAGCCAATAATAGATAAACAATACATATTACAGTTAGAACCTTACTGTATTTAGAACTTGATTATAAATACAACCTCCCACCCCCCTCTCTATTGAAACAATGCATTAAAGAAAATAAAGCAAACAAGTAAAGAAAAATCTTTTCAATAAAGGAAGTAAATCTAGGGATGGCTAATATCAATCATTCAAAAACAAGATAGTAGGGATGGTACTTGCATCATACCTACATAATAGTACAGGCAAGAATTAACATATAGCAAGATATATATAACTTCAATCGCAGTTGAGTTTAATTTATCCTATTTTTGTCTGTTAACATTCTGCTATACTCTGTGCCTGTGCTATTATGTGGGATGATGCAAATTCCATCCTTACTATCTTGTTTGCATTGTTTTTGAAGGATTGATATTAGCCATCTCTACATTTACTTCCTTTTTTTTTAAAGTTTCTGTCTTTATATATAGATATGTCAAATAGGCTCAAGGGTTCCGATACGGTAGTCAAGTGTAATGTTGGAACATTTATTGGCTCGACTGTCATTAGCACTGTGAATTATATACACCTGGAAAAAAGTTAAGCACCCCCAAATATTTTTCAGGATTGCTTATTGAAAATAAGGTTTAATTTTCATGATGTTGAG